GGGTGAAGACACGACCATCTTCATCCAAATAGAACCACCCCGTCGTTCTAGCTGTATTTGGGGCAACTTTCAATCTAGATACAGTCATTCTACTAGGGTGGAACCGCTACTAGTCTTCTATACTTCCTGCCCGCCATTGGAACTAAGTGTTGAGGTCCAAATCAGAACAGAGGATACTGACCATACGTATAGTAGACTAGTAGCGGTTTCACCCTGTAGAATTGACTGTATCAAGACTGAAAGTTGCCCCAAGTACAGCTATCATCCATTTTGGTCCTGTTTACTCCACCTTGATCTGGTCCTTCTACTGTGTTGCCACCCACATAGAACTGAAAGCTGCCCCGGGAGAAATGACTGTATCTAGACTGAAAGTTGCCCCAAGCACAACCAGCTATCATCACCGCACGTTCTACTCGGGGAAAAGGGGACCGAAGCATTGCCAATGATGGCAACACAGTAGACTGACTGTGTTACGATCCTGGCCAATTTCAAAGTACACATTCATGAGAAAGTACAATGCCGTCCAATTGCATAAAGAAATGAATGAACTTGAGAGGAGAGAGAGGGAAAGAAGAAGAAGAAGAAGAAGATGAAAAAAAGAAGAGGAAGATGATGTACACCAGTAAAGACCAATGATAATTCCCTTCTTCTCGCCAACCACTCTCCTCCTCCTTTTCTCCTCCTCTCTTATTCAAACAATAAATAACAATAATAACGTTGAATGGCTGAACCAGAATCAATGTCCGAATCCCTCTTCTACTGCAGGCACAACATGAGGTCCACCATAGCCATGGCCACCCTTCTTCTTCCTCTTCATGTAGGCCAAGGCTATGGCTGACTACTAGGGCCTCGCCCTGCTGTGCAAAGGACAACACAAAGCAGGTACGCTCGCTGCTGTTCAGGACGCCATGCCAGACCCCGCCTTGAAGCCTTCTTGGTGCGGCGCAACCCCAACTGGGGCCTCCCAGATGCACCACCTAACAAGGTGATGAAGATGGTGCCCACCATAGCCAGGTACTCTCCCTCCTAGCCCGCTTCTTCCTCCTCTTCTTACCGGTAGATCTCCACCATAGCCGAGGTGGAAGCTCCCGGTCTCCTTCCTCCTAGCAGCGCTGTAATGCCCAGCGCTTCTCCAACCAACGCTCCAAGCAGTGTGTCGCCAAACTTGCACACCGAAGAATGAGGAGGAGCACTTTGCTCCTCCTGGACATATAGCGGCCTACTTGCCTCTTGGGCGGTGACTTCCTGGGTCGCGCGGCCTCCAAGCAACCGGTAACTCCTCCCTTCCGCAGGGAAACATCATTGCAGACTCTGATATTGCCCGTACAGGCCCTAGACTCAGACTGGTTGGACTGGTACCCGCCTAGACCTAGCCTACAACTACTGGGCCCCTAAAAATGCCAACTTTTGTCTTTTCTGCTCGGCCTCGAGTACCCGGCGCATCTACTTCTACTTGCGGGTCACACACACACTCGGCCTCGAGTACCCGACGCATCTACTTCTACCCGGCGCATCTACTCCTACTTCTACTTGGTGTGGTACTGGCCTACCTGCTACTTGAGTGTTTTTCCCACTGCCCTAAGTGTCGCGGGCCTCGTGCCCCGCCAGTGTTTTTCCCCCGCTGCAACCCTCAATGTCACGACCACAGGTAAGTACCGGCCTACTGGCCTCCCAAACAAGGACGTACCCTTGCGGGTCACACACACACTCAGGCTGACCAGCACTCAGACAGGCACGCAGACCATCAAGCACGCACACACACACACACACAGACTTAGAAAACTCAACAGAATGCGGGAATCTCAGCAAGGCATCCATTCCAGCAGCAGAACTCAGAAATCAGCAGTGTTCTCAGTCTGTGTTTTGGCAGGTCATTACAACTGTCTCTAGACTGAAAGTTGCCCCAAGTACCGCTATCATCATCCGCATTCTACTTGGGGAAAACAGTAGCAGCAGTAACAGGGCTCTTTTGGGGGGGTCAACTATCATCATCGAAATTTCAGAGGTGTATGGTTTTGGAAAACCACTTTTTAAAAGTTTTTTTGGATTTCCAGTCAAGATTGGTGTGATAATGCGATTACATATTTGATGCTAACGAGAGTGAATCAGCATAAATTTGACTGAATCCCGCCAAGTTTGAAGTCGGAACCATGCCGCGCAATTTGAACCACCCAGTGAAGTTTGAACCACTTGGTTTAGTCTCACTAAGCGGTTTAAAGTTTTAAACTTCAAACTTCAAACGGATCTTCCCTTTGACCGCGTGGAGTGGCAGTTGGAGACCAGAACCAGTGGTCTTAACTGCAAACTTGGTGTGATTTCAACAGTCTGAACCACTCAGCCCAGTTTGAACCACTCGGTGAAGTTTGGACCACTTGGTTCAGTCTAAATTAGTGGTTCAAACTTCAAATATCAAAGTTCTAACTTCTAACAGATGTTCCCTTTGACCCCGTGCAGTGGCAGCTGGGGCCCAGAGGCAAATGGAAACAACCCTGATCGAAATATATTAGACAATTAAGAGTGGATATGAAGATGTTATAAACTATATTGATTATTGATAGTATCGGCTGCTGCACAATATAGAGAATGTCAGTAAATGTTCAAATGTCTAAGATCAGTTTGCCTCCGAACAGATGGAAGAAGCATCTGAAAGCGGCGGGTGGCATGCAGACCAGAGAGACACAGAATGATTTAGGCATCAAAAAAACAAACCAGCAAAATGCAGAGCACTTCAGTGACATATTGTTTTACTAGAGAGAGAGAGAGAGAGAGAGAGAGAGAGAGAGAGAGAGA